GGAGGTGGGGATTTTGTTCAGCCAGCAGAGATGAAGGGGGGCCGTAAAAAGTCCGTGAAATGAGGGCAGGGCGGTGGAAAATGCCGTGTGGAAATCGGGGATAATGGAGAGCCCCCGGTTTATCTCCCTCTTATTGTCCCTGGCATCTCTGAGGCACCGCAGGGATTCGGGGAGTTCTGCTCCGTCAGGGGGGGTTTGGTTTTAGGGTGGGGCTTTTTGGAGGAGCGGGCTGAAAGCACCACACCTCCTCCAGCCAAAAAAACCACACAAAAAAAGGAGGAAAGACCTTTTACAGCTCTTTATTTCTGAAGAAAAAGAAAAGAAAAGAAAAGAAAAGAAAAGAAAAGAAAAGAAAAGAAAAGAAAAGAAAAGAAAAGAAAAGAAAAGAAAAGAAAAGAAAAGAAAAGAAAAGAAAAGAAAAGAAAAGAAAAGAAAAAGAAAAGAAAAAGAAAGAAGCCCTTTTCTTTAAGCCTGAAAAAATCCAACCTCTTTCAAAAATTGCCACCTGTGTCAGTAACATAAAGCCCAACCTGATCTACTGATGAAAAGTCCAGGAAATAAAGAGGAAAAGTTGCACTTCCAGGTCAGGAAAGAAAGAGGGAAAGTCTCCATGTCCCAGTCCAAGAAATAAAGAGGGAAAGCTCCACCTCCAGTCTAGGAAATAAAGAGGAAAAACTTCATCTCTAGACCAGGAAAGAAAGAGGGAAAGCTCCATGTCCCAGTCCAAGAAATAAAGAGGAAGAGCTCCACCTCCAGTCCAGGAAATAAAGAGGAAAAGATCGATTTCCAGCCCAGGAAATAAAAAGGACAAACTCCATCTCCAATCCAGGAAATAAAAAGGACAAATTCCATTTCCAGTCTAGGAAATACAGAGGAAAAACTCCAGTCCAAGAAATAAAGAGGAAAAGCTGCTCCATGTCCAGGAAATAACTGGGGAGTTGATCCTTCTTATTTTTTTGGCCACTGGAAGGGAAAACTCCCCTGTTTTTCCCAGCTCTGCCTCAGGTTTGGGTCCCCACGTGTCTCCTGGTGGAAAAGGGGATGTCCCAGTCCTTGGGATGAACTGGTTGGGTCTCCAGGAGTTTAACCAGGTGATCCCAAAGCCACAGGGAATCCCAATTTCTTCCAAAGGGAGATGGGTATGGACAATTTACGCTCCCAAGGCACAACCCAAACAACTCTTATATTTAAAAGTGTGTTCTGAAATCAATAAGAAGCAGGAATTCTTAGTGAAATCCCACTGTGGAAGGAAGAAATTAAAAAGATGGGGGGGAAAAAAGACTCAAGTTTTTACCTGGAGAGCCTCTGGGACAGCTGTAATTGCTCCAGATTTTATTCTTGGGAGCTACCCCGGCATTCCCAAGCAATGGATGCCCCTCTGGGTGGTGTCTGAGGCCATGCTGAGCTTTTCACTGAACACTGAAAGCAAAACCAGCGAGGAAAAGGGAGCAGGAGGGAAATAATGGAACAAATAAAATAAGGGCAAATAAAAGAACCCTTTTCTAGGGGCTTCTTTCCCAAATAAAGCAGGAATGAAATTTAAACAACAACAAAAAAAATCAGCTTTACCCTCTGCTCCCATCGACCTGCTCATCCAGAGCCTGGATTCAGAGTCTTAGGTTGGTTTAAGTTTGATCCACCAAAGACAAGGACTATTTTCTTGATGTCTTTTCCACCAGTGGCCACTTCAACCCCTCCCAACTCAACTTCTACACTTCCTTAACCAGCGGGGGAACAACACCTGGAAGAAGTCCTGGCTCGGGTGGATAAACCAGTGCCTCGAGAAGTTCCTGGTTAGGCAGAGGAGTTGATGAAGCCAGGCTTAATTTCGCACCACCACCAAGCACCAGCTCCCCATCCCCGCCTTCCCCCCCGAGATTTACGGCTGGATTTAAATCGTCATTTAAATCATCGGCGATTCCTCTCGAAAAGCTTCAGCACCACGGGTGTGATTTGGTTTGGTTTGGTTGGGTTTTTTTTCTTCCCCAGTGCAATTTCTCCACCTGGTGGTGTGAAAGCAGCTCCCGGTGCTGGGATTTTAACACCCGTTTTACACCCCTTTTACACCCATTTTACACCTTCTGACCTGGTTCAGGTTCCACCCGAGCACCGAGCCAAGGGAAAACACACCCACGGGTTTGGGGCTGTAAATTTACTGTAAATTTACTTCCCTCGGTATCCACTTCAGGCACCAGGACAGGATTTGTTGGGCAGGTTTCTTTCCTTCCATCCCCTGGGATGGATTCCCTGCTTCCCATCCATATCCTGCCACTCTGAGAACTCAGGAACAAGTTGATTTAACCCTTCCCAGAGGATAAATATATATATTTATATATATAAATTATATGTTTTTTTTTTAACCCAGCATCTTTTTTTTTTAATCAATAAAAAATGCCCCCAAAACCTCTGTGATTATCTGTGAGGTTTTCACTGTATTTGCTCTCTGATTTGGCACAAAGGAATCCAGGTGGATTGCAAAGGCTCCAGGAATCCCAAAGCAGTATTTTATTATTTTTTTTAATTATTATTATTTTTTTATATTATTATTTTTTAGTTTATTTCCTTCCATATCCAGGCACCAGAACAGGATTTGTTGGGCAGGTTTGTTTCCTTCCATCCCCTGGGATGGATTCCCTGCTTCCCATCCATACCCTGCCACTCTGAGAACTCAGGAACAAGTTGATTTAACCCTTCCCAGAGGATAAATATATATATTTATATATATATATAAATTATATGGCTTTTTTTAACCCAGCATCTTTTTTTTTTTAATCAATAAAAAACGCCCCCAAAACCTCTGTGATCTTATCTGTGGGGTTTTCACTGTATTTGCTCTCTGATTTGGCAGAAAGGAATCCAGGGGGATTGCAAAGGCTCCAGGAATCCCAAAGCAATATTTTATTATTTTTTTATTATTTTTTATTTATTTATTTATTAGTTTATTTCCCTCCATATCCAGGCACCAGGACAGGAGGTTTCCTTCCATCCCCTGGGATGGATTCCCTGCTTCCCACCCACACTCTGCCACTCTGAGCAACTCAGCCCTACCCCTCAGGTGACCCTTCCCAGAGGAGAAATAAATATATTTTTAACAGAACATCTTTCTTTTTAATCAGTAAAAAATGCCCCCCCAAGCCCCTGTGATGTGACCTGGGAGGTTTTGGCAGGAAGGAATCCCGGGGGATCACAAAGGGCAATCCCAAAGCAGTGTTTTATTTTTGATTTGGATAATTTTTTTTTTTTCAGTGGGAGATGGGGGGTGAGGGAAGAACTATTTTACCCTGGGATAAAGAGCTTACCAATGGAAAGGGGTGGATTTTCCTCCGTGGAGATTTTGGGTCGGGAATGAACCCGCTCCTCTCACCGAACTGAGCCAACACCCTCACTCTGAACATCCCAAACTGGTTTTAATTTAGGATTAATTCCTTATTGTATGGGCAGCCCAGCTGTCCTGAGCCAAAAATGGGCCATCTGAGACCTCTCAGGTTCATTCCTGTGGCTCCTCAGGCCTGACACCACCCCTTAAAGAGCTCTGGGTGATTTGGGGGCTTTTTAGGAGCTGAATGGCCCCATTAATACGTTGGGTTTGGATGGGAGAGAAGGGACAGGAAAGTTGGGACAAGGAAAGTTGGGACAAGTGAGAAATGTCTTTGCAGTGACAAATCAACTCTCTGTCCATGGTGAAACCAGAGGGGGGACAGAAAACACTTGGAGTAAAATAAATCCAATTCATGGGGCCTGAGAAGAAGAAAGGACTGGAGGTAATTCCCTCCTTTCCCCATGGATAAATCCATGCCAGTGGATAACTCACAGCTGGTGCATCCAGCAGAGACACCAGGGAGAATTTTACTCATCCCAACACCTTGCAAGCTATCCCCAATTAGCTTTTTAGCTGATTACCCAACTGCTGTTAATTTTAAGGTGTAAATTGCTGAGATTTTTTTACAAAACCACACCGAGAGCATCTTCACCTCCCCTTCATCCCACTGGCACCTTGTTGCCTTTCCCAAGGGGGATGATGGGCTGAGGGCAGGGACTCCCTGCAGCAGCAGCAGCAGCAGGAGGTTTATTTTATCCCCCTGGAGCTTTGATTTGTGCCTTTCATCAGCAAAAAAAAAAAAAAAAAGAGGAAAAGGTGGATAAATCTTCTGGAAGAGATGATTTCTCCGTGTTCCCTCCAGGGCAAAGAGGCATCTGAGAAGGAAGGAAAACTTCCACCCGAGTCTCCCAACCACCTGTGAGAAACCACTCAGAGAACTCCACTCCTGGGGTTTGAGCATCCAGAAATTCCCTAATCCCTCAAATCCATGCAATTCCTGTTTAGGAGGTGAGGAGTGCCAGGAAATCTCGATCAAAGCCCTGAAGGTCCTCAGGGAGCACAAATTTGAGGTGAGCCTTGTCCTCCTGGCACTTCAGAGCTTCCCCTCTGTGCCTTTCCAGGTTGCTCCAAAGCCCTGATCCTCATTCCAGGCGCAGTTTGGTTCCAACTCTTGCTCCCACGGAGCTCTGAACTTTAATTGTGAGATAAAAGTTTCCTTGGGTGGATCAAAAACCAGCCACTTGGTCTTCCAAAAGGGAGTCAATCCGTATCCAATGGCACTCAACAGCTGGAGCACATGGACAGCCCTGTCCTGCCTGCTCCCAGCTCTCCTCCCACAGCAATTTGTCCTCCCAAAAAAGTGCCAGCCCCGCCTTCCAGCGAGGTCACTTCTTCTTTGCTGGGGCCTTGGCATTCCCAGCAGCCTTCCCGTTGCTTTTGCTGCCTCCTCCTGCCTTTCCTGCTTCCCCTTCTTTCTTCCCACCACCTTCTTTCTTGTCACTTGTGTCCTTTCCCCCCTTTTCTCCTTTTCCCCCCTTTTCTTCTTTCCCCCCCTTTTCTCCTTTCCCTCCTTTTTCTTCTTTTCCCCCCTTTTCTTCTTTTCCTCCTTTTTCTCCTTTTCCTCCCTTTTCTCCCTTTTCTCCTTCTTTCTTTTTGGCCCCATCCTTCCCTTCTTTCTTCCCTTCTTTCTCCTCCTTCTCCCCCTCCTTCTTCTTGGTGCCCTTGGATCCATCTTTCTTCCCCTGAGCCGTGTCCACTTTTCCAGACACGGTGGGAACTTCTTCCTTCTTTTCCTCTGTAGGCTGAGCTGTTGGAAGGATGGAGAGAGGAAAAAAAAAAAAAAGAAAACAGGAAAGGAGTTAATTTGGGTTGAAAACAGCTGGGAAAAGCTCAAAATTCCTGCTCCCTGCTTGGGACAAATCTTGGGCAAAGGGAAAATATTCTGCTGGGGCTTTTTTCCTCCTGCTTGCTCACTGATGGGCAGCTTTTCATGTCTTTGGTTCCAGAAGGTAAGGGGATAAATAATAATCATTTCAAGGGCTGATTTGTGGATTTATTGAAGGAAATGGCTCCTCTTGGTAGGAACTGATCCATGGATGTTAAAACACAGTCCATGAACACTTCCCAGGAACGACTGGGAGTTGTCTCCTTCCACAAGGAGGAACAGAAACATCTCTTATGCAATTCAGGACAAACCTCGGATTTGGGTTTTTATGGGGCTTTTCTAAAATTATTTCTCTGTCTGTGGGCTGTGTCTCCTTTAACTGGATATTAGGAAGGAATTCTTTATTATAAAGGTGGGCAGGCCCTGGCACAGGTCGCCCAGAGAAGCTGTGGCTGCCCCTGGATCCCTGGAAGTGTCCAAGGCCAGGCTGGAGCAACCTGGGCTGGTGGAAGGTGTCCCTGCCCATGGCAGGGGGTGGCACTGCATGATCTTTCAGGTCCCTTCCAACCCAAAGCATTCCATAATTGTGCAATTCCATGGTTTATTTTACATTTACCAGAAATATCCCTTTAATATGGACATTAAAATGAAGTGCCACCCTCTGAGCTTGGGAACTGGCAATTCCTTTGTCCAAATGGGAGGAGAACAACACAGACCCTTCCTTACAATCCCAGGGGAAATCCTGGCACCTCATGTTAAAAAAAAAAAAAAAAAAAAAAAGGGAGAGAGGGAGGGGAAAAAAAAAAAGGAACCAACCCAGCCCATTTTCTGCTTTCTGGATAAATGTGACAGAAACCAGGTGAACTCCCAAAATATCAGCTGGAGCAGCCTCAGAGTGCAATACTTGGAGATCTCCCAGGACCTGGACAGTAAATCTGCACCCAGAGCAAAGGCCAAGTCCTGCTTGTTCTTCTCCCCCAGGCTGGGAGACAGAGCACAAACAAATCAATTTTATATCCCAGTTTATCCACTTGACCCCCTAAAAGGCCATTTAATTTACTCCCAGTAGAAGGGCTTGTCCTGTCTGGCACTCCAAAAAAGTTCAGGGAGAGCCAGCTGGCACCTCAAATATTCCATTCTAAGAGATGTGAAGTGTTGAGGGGGGGAAATAATGCCAAGAAAAGGAGAATATTTCAGCACTGTGATAGATCCGTGACTGATGGCATCTGACATCACTCGCTGAGTGAATCCTTTGGAGCCTCCTGAGTTGGAGACACACAGGAATTTTTAAGGCACAGTTTCCCCCTCTCCCACTTCAGCACCCCCCCTGCCCTGAAAGGAATCACATCCACTTTTATTTTCCACCTTGGATACAGGGATGACAGTCTGGACAAATAGTGCTGGCACAGTCTAACCCCCCATCTATCTCCACAGATAAAACACTTATGGACAGGTGATTCCCATTCCAGGACCAGTTCCCTCAGGGCAATTTGGGGAGATTTAGATCTGCCAAGTCCAAGAGGACCAGGAACTCGGTGAGTTATTATCAAATAGCAGCAGCCACTCAGCAGCACGTTATCCATCAACCTCCTACCCTGGCACCAGGACCATAATCCTGGAATTCCCAAAGGGTGGCCAAGCATTTCACTGGAGAAAAGGTCTTTCAGGGAGGATTCGTGGTGCAGCTGATTCCCAAGAAATTGATTTCTTGGGCTCATTTTTTTCAGGAGCTCCTGCTGCAATGATTCACCCTCGTCTCATTAAATCCACACCCAATATCCAGCCCTTGGATGGAGCACATGGATGTGTCTGTGGGATGGAAAGGTCAACATTTCTCAGCATTCTGGGGTGAAACAGCCATTTTGCTGCCCAAAAAACCCTTTCTGCCTCTTCTGGATGTTCTTATCCTTAATTTATTGGTTTTCCAGAAGTAACAGCTCGGCAGGAAGAGGATGGGGCAGCAAGCGAGGGAATTTGGATTCCTGCTCTTTACAGGCATGTTCCTTCCCAGCCCCTGGGATCTGCTGAGACCTGGTCTTCAAGGACTCAGAATTTGGACTTTTTTGGGCAGTGAACCAAAGGATACTTCGATTTCCTGCCCCAAATGTGGGCATTTTCCACGTGGGATTGCTCGGACGGGTAAGACTGAACCAACCACACCTTCGGGTGACCTTGGACTTTAAAGCAGGTTAAATTCAAGTGGCCAGTCGGGTTCTGCTCCAGAGAGGGGTCTGAGCATCCTCAGTTCGTGGTCAGATGTCAGGACACCTCTGAAATCCTGAGCTTTGGGCAAGTTCCTACTGGCAAACTCTTTTAGTTGTGCATTTTGCTGGTGTAGGACTAAACTGCTGCAGTTGTTTCATCTGCCTCTTCCCACGATCCAGGGACTGAAACATCCCATTTTTGAACGAAGGAAACTTGCAGTTTTTAGGAAGCAGCAGGTCACAGGGTTTGCAGAGACACAGGGAAGAGAGGAAAATAAAGGTCCTAAAACCGGAGAAAACAGAGGCCAAATGCAGAAAGGAGAAGCAGAAAGTCCAAGGGCTGATGGATCCCAGCGGGAAAGAGAAGCCACAGACAGACAGGCAGGCAGGAAGGCAGATCCCTAATTTCCTTGCAGGGCCATTTCATCCTCTTCTTTCAGCACAGGCAGGGAGTTGAGAGGTCTGGGCTGGACATGACCAGAGAGAGTAAGGAGAGTTTCAGTAGAGCCTGTGGCACAGAACCAGGAGAGGAGAGTGAGAGCAACAGAGAGCACAGACAGCAACACTCCTGCTCAGCCCAGCAGGGAAAACCATCCATGTGGAACTCCAACAACTCCTTTCTTTTTTTTTTTTTTTTTTTTCCTGCTGGTACCCCCTAAAACCCAAGGGCTGGCCCTTAAAATTAATCAGCCCCCATGGAAAACTGAAAGATGGAATTCCTTGTTGCACTCTACAGCTCCCTGAAAGGAGGGAGGAGGAAGGAGGTCGGGCTCTTCTCACGGGAAAACAACAGGTAGGACAAAGGGAAACTGTCCTGAGTTGCACCAGGGGAGGTTCAGGTTGGATATTGGGAAAAAATTCTTTGCTGGAAGAGGAGTTAAACATTGGAACAGGCTGCCAAGGGAGGTGGTGGAGTTCCCATCCCTGGAAATGTTCAGAAAACAAGTGGCTGTGGCACTTCAAACTACGGGTTAAAGGTGGGGTTCGGCCAAAAGTTGGACTGGATGATCTTGGAGGTCTTTTCCAAGATTTTTATGCTTTCCAAGGGCTTGGACCAATGGAGAAGGTCCTTTTCATCTAAATACCTGTGTCTGCTGCCCCAAATGCAGCAGGTTCAGGGTGATCTTAATGCTGGGAGAGGGTTTACCTTCAGATAGGACGGGTTTAAAGGTGGCACTGAGGTCACCCACAGTGACCCCCACCACGGGAGGACCCTCTCAGGAGCGAACCCCGGAGCAGGAGGAGGGTGTGGGGAGGGTGTGGGCAGGGCAGGTACCTCCAGGGATCTCTGTGAGCTCGTTGAGGGGCGGCACAGTGTCCAGCTTGTCCGCGTAGTTCTTGGCCGCCTGGCGCTGGGCGTAACGCGCCTCGATCTCCTTCCTGGTGCGCGGGATCCGGCACTTGAAGATGCAGCACAGGGTGATGACTGGGAAGGGAGATGGGGAAATGAGCCCGTGGATTAGTCAGGGCGGTCCTTTGACCTGAAAGCCGGAGGAGAACTCTCCGAGGCTTTCTTTTGGCCGAAAGCCCTCGATTAGTGACGGTGCGAGCACCAAAATCATCCCCAGAGCACCCCCTGAACTGCAGAGGGGTCACAGCCTCATCCTCTCACCTCAGGATGATTTTGGGGCACTTGCTCAGCTCTTACACCCACTCCCAAAACTGCCCCTTCACCTTCACCCCACCCCCTGACCCGCTGTGAGACCCCAGCCCCAGGAGCTGCTGGCCCAGGGGCTCAGCCAGGAGTTGAATATTTAGAGTTTTTATATATATATATATAGGAGTTTAATATCTAGATTGAGAGTTTATATATAGAGAGAGAATTTAATATCTAGATAGAGAGTTTATAGATATACATATATATGTTTAATATCTAGATAGAGAGTTTTTATATATATATAGGAGTTTAATATCTAGATAGAGAGTTTATATATATAGGAGTTTAATATCTAGATATAGTTTTTATATATATATGAGGAGTTTAATATCTAGATATAGTTTTTATATATATATGAGGAGTTTAATATCTAGATAGAGAGTTTTTATATATATATGAAGAGTTTAATATCTAGATAGAGGGTTTATAGATATATGTGAGTTTAATATCTAGATATACAGTTTATATATATATATGAGTTTAATATCTAGAGAGTTTTATATATATATGAGGAGTTTAATATCTAGATATACAGTTTATATATAGGAGTTTAATATCTAGATAGAGAGTTTATATATATAGGGCAGTTTAATATCTAGATAGTTTATATATATAGGAGTTTAATATCTAGATAGAGAGTTTATATATATAGGAGTTTAATATCTAGGTAGAGAGCTTATATATATATATATTAGTTTAATATAGAGAGTTTTTATATAGGAGTTTAATATCTAGAGTTTATATATATATATAGGAGTTTAATATCTAGATGGAGAGTTTATATATACATATAGGAATTTAATATCTAGACATAGAGTTTATTTTTATATATATATATGTGAATTTAATATCTAGATATATCCTGAATACTTTTAGATGACATCAGAGAATAAGCCACAGGTTTGTTGCCAAGGGTTTTCTTAATTAATTGAGGGGAGCAAATAAGGGGACTTGGGCCAAGAAATCGGGTTTGCTGTGGAGGTGCTGCAGTGGAATCACACTGGAATTTAGGGAAAAGTTCAGTCCTAAAGGTGCTAAAAAGCTGTATTAAAATGGATATAAGGTGGATTTTAAGGCTGCAGGGCACAGCAGGAGAAACCCTCATTTCAGGAGGGAGTTCCTGGAGCCGTTTCCATCAGTGCTGGGGGACGGGGTCACACTGTGTGAGCCACGGAAAAGAAAGGATTCCCAGCTGAGCTGTGGGAAAGGACTGATGGTCCTTCCCACCAAAACCAGTGGAAAGCATTGTCTGAACCATTTCTGCCACTGGTGTTGCTGAGCCTCAGCACCAACAAGGACAATTCATCCTCTCTTTGGCCCTAACAGGGACGCAGGGACACCTCCCACTAGCCCAGGTTGCTCCAGCCTGGCCTTGGACACTCCCAGGGATCCAAAGGCAGCCACAGCTTCTCTGGGAAATCCATTCCAGCCCCTCCCAGCCAAGAATTCCTTCCCAATATCCCATCTAGCCCTGCCCTCTGGCTTCAAAGTCATATTCCCCCTTGTCCTGTCCTCCCATCCCTTGTCCCCAGTCCCTCTCCAGCTCTCCTGGAGCCCCTTTAGGCCCTGGGAGGGGCTCTCAGGTCTCCCTGGATCCTTCTCTTCTCCAGGGGAACATTCCCAGCTCTCCCAGCCTGTCAAAACCAATCCCTTTCCCGAAATTTGGTGCCCAAAAATCCCAGTTTGCAGTGGAGGTGCTGGGGTGGAATCACACTCGGGGCCACCTGAATGTTCCCACTGGGGCTGAGAACAACATGGAGTTGGAATAATCTGGGATTGGGAAGCAATCAAGGATCTTTTATCCTTGTTCTTCCAGGAGGGTCAGGAACAACCTGAGGGGAATTGAGCATTTCCTTGTCTTACAGAAGGAAAGGGAAGAACCCAGATGGAATGATGGAATTGTGGCAGGGATGGTGTTTAAGGTCCCTTCCCACCCAACCATTCCATGATTCCATGAAGGTGTATCCATCCCTAAATAACTGCATGGAAAACCCATGAAAACATCAAGGTTTAAAATATTTATATTTTCATGTAAATATATATTTATATTATGTATGTATTTATATTCCAGATGCTGTTTAATCTAAATATAGTTTATATACACTATAATATAAATATATATTCATATAGTATATATAAAATATAATATTAAATTACATATATAATTGAATAGAATATAAAAACTATAATATAAAATAAAGTGTATCTATAATAATATAATTAAATTAATATAAATAAAATATATAAAAATATAATATAATATAGTATGTAAAATAATAATTATATTTTACTAAAAACACTCCTGGTTTCCCCTCTGTCAAAACACAGAAAGCAGCAGAAGAAACATCCTGAGAGACAAACTGTACTGGAGAAATGTTCCATTCTCTCCATTTTCTCAGCTCTTCTGTATTAATAATCCATGAGTTTATCCTAATCAGCACAATTTATCCTAAACTGCACAATTAAAACACACTTTTTTCCCCTTTCTTTTAATACCACCTGAAGATTTTTTGTCTGTTTGGCTTCCACAAATCACTTTTTTCACCTCTTTTTTTTTTTTCCCTCCCCCCTTTTCTGGTGCCACCAAATACAGGGTTGAAAATTCAGGCCCCTCCTTCCAAAAGAACATTTCTGGTTTAAATGAAGCAGTCAGGGCTGATCCTGTACGGGATGTTCTCTTTCCACACTTGAAATTTGGAGCTGACAAGGGATCAAATCGTTGCTCCCCTGCCAGGCTGAGCCTGGGAAATGTCATTTTCCAGGAGGGAAAACAGAATACTTGGTGCTGCTTTCTTAAAAGAGTCGATTTTTTTTGCTCTCTGTGACGATAAAAGAGTTATTTATATTTATATTTATACATGTGATATATTTTTGTGCTTTGTTAGATATTTAATATAATATATAATAATATATTTAATATGTTTTCCCTGACTTGGAAAATAAGGAAGAGGCTTGTTCTTTTCTGGATTTTAGCCCATTTTCATTATTTTCACACTTTTCACTATTTTATATGTCCCTAATAATCAAATCCAAAATTATTCAGTCTGGAAAAGCTGAGAAATAACCCCCCCCCCCCAAAAAAAATCTACCAGCAACAGAGCAAATGTTAACCCTGATTTTCCACCACAAAGATCAAGATGTTTGGGATGAAATCAGGGCTTTGTCTTTACTCCCACTGGGAGAAACTAAAATATTTGGCTTCCTAATTGAGGTGAATTAAAAGCACACTCGAAAATCCAAGGAAAAGAGGTGGGTGGGATGTAAATGAAACATCCACCTGGCCCCTTCTCCTGCTCAAAACTCACTGTAGGGAACTCATCCCAGCAGCAGTAACACGGCACATTTAAACCAGGAAACTTTTAAACTCGGGAAAAACAGGACAGGGACAACTGGGAGGTGGGAAAGACTCGGCATTCCCAGAAATTCAAGGGAAATTGGCTGCAATCCACAGCAGGTTTGTCCCCCTCTGAAAGCTGCAGCAAATCCAGGCTGCCAACGAAGCTGTTAATGAACATTTAGCAAAAGAAGCCTGAGCTGCTGGGAGTTAATTAGCAATAATAATGCAATTAATGCTGATTTATTCCCTGGGTTAAGGGCAGCCCCTGTTTAAAGATTTTGGGAGAAGCAAAGCCTGGAGAGTTGGTGCTCGAGGAGCTGGTTGAGAGGGCACGGAATGACAGGATAAGAGGGAATGGTTTGAACTGACATGGAATAGGTGGGATACTGGGAAGGAATTCCTGGCTGGGAGGGTGGGGAGGGACTGGAATGGATTTCCCAGAGAAGCTGTGGCTGCCCCTGGATCCCTGGGAGTGTCCAAGGCCAGGCTGGAGCAACGTGGGGTAAGTGGAAGGTGTCCCTGCTTGGAGCTGCACGACCCTTAAGGTCTCTTCCAACCCAAACCATTCCATGATTCATTGAGATTCCTTCCATTTTTTATTTTTTAAAGTTATTTCAAAAAATTTTAGCTTTTTGAACACAGGCTTCAAATCTGTGCCAGTGAAGCCTCCAGGGTTTCCTGGGCCATATTCCAAGGCAACATTTTCCCTCCCAATGAAATGCCATCAAGCAAAGGCATCCCAGGAAAACTGGCCCGGCCACGGCCCTCGTGTGGTGCTGCTGCTGCCCCAAGGAGGAGCAGCTGGAAGTTGGGGTGGGATGGGAGGAGCAGCTGGAAGTTGGGATGGGGTGAGTGGCTGGAAGTTGGGATGGGGTGAGTGGCTGGAAGTTGGGATGGGATGGGATGGGAGGAGCAGCTGGAAGTTGGGATGGGATGGGATGGGCTGAGCAGCTGGAAGTTGTCCCTCAGCCTCCATCTCACGGCATCTTCTGCCAACTCAGCTTCAAGGGGAGAGGCTTTGAAGGTGCAGATCAAACAGGAGCCAGGAAGAGCGAAGGAAAAGCTGCATTTTCTGCCCCCAGCCCCACCTGGGATAGTGGGAGGTGTCCCTGTCTTTGTCCCTTTTGAGATGCATTCTCAGAACCCTCCTCAATCCTGTTTTTTATCCCATTCTATTGCTCTTCTTCCCATGAAACGCTAATCCTTGGATTAATGTTCTCATTTCCTAGAAAGAAATAAAACCCAGGAGCCAAAGAAGGGGGAGACTGCAATCCCAGTATTTGTACCAAACATGTTTTTAGGTTTATCCACCTCTGGAAAATGCCCTGAGGACACCCTGGAATAACTCCTGGCAGGGGTCAGGGCTGCTCCAGGGTTTGCTCAGCAGCTCCACACGGGATGTTTTGCTACTGGCTGGGCAGGAGGCTCTGTC